CTATTCCTTTTGCTTCTACTTCTATATCTACTTCTATATCTACTTCTAATCCAAATGAATCCACTTCAAATCCTGTCGTCTTGGCTGCCAATCTGCAACCTGATGCAGACCTTATTCTAATCCTTTGGCCCTGAAAATCCTAGCAAATATTCAAAGTCTCCTCAACCGATTCCCTTAAGTTTTGGGCGAACTATGTAGAGTTCCCGTGCGTCCAGTCTAGCGCAAAACTGAGTTGATAAAAGGCGTTTTTGCTATGTGTGTACCGTATGGGATCTGACGAGTGGGAATAACTTTGAAACGAAATCGACTAAATGACTGAGAAGGGGTGGATCAGACTCAATGAGTCCGAATTTGGTGCGCCTGTTTTGTTTGTCCCCAAGAAATGAGGGAAACTCCGAATGTGTATTGATTACTGCAGTCAAAACCGAATCACAAGAAAAAATGTATATCCATTGTCATGCATCAATGACTTGTTGGATGTTGTTGGTGGGTGTTGGTGGGTGCAAGGTCTTCCCCAAGATCGATCTCAAGTCTGGCTACCACCGGATTGAAGTTGATCCTGCGGACCAGCACAAGACTGCATTAAAAACTCGCGATGGGTTGTACGAATTCACCGTTATGCCCTTCGGTCTCACGAATGCACCAGCCACCTTTCAAAGTCTCATGGACAAGGTGTTTTGCGCTTAGACCAACCGGCTTGTTGTTATCTATCTGGACGACATTCTAATCTTCAGCAAATCAATGGTTGAACATATAAGACACCTTGAGGAAGTGTTGAACATCCTAAAGAAAACGCAGCTTCATCTCAACTTAAACAAATCTGAGTTTGGAAGGGAAAACGTCATCTACCTTGGACACTGGTCGTTTGCTACAGGCCTTCAGCCCGAGGCAACCAATGTTAAGGTCATTAGTGTTGAACATCCTCAAGAAAACGCAGCTTTATCTCAACTTAGACAAATCTGAGTTTGGGAGGGACATTGTCATCTACCTTGGACATCGGTCGTCTGCTACAGGACTTGAGGCCGAGGCAACCAATGTTAAGGTCATTCACAATTGGCCTCGACCGGTGAACGTCCACGAACCGAATCACTTTCTTGGTCTCGCATCGTACTATCAAAAGTTTGTTTTTCTCATTGCTCGCCCATTGTCTAGACTTAAAGTAAGAATGTATTCTATGCATGGGATGAAGCATGTGAAACTGCCTTTTAAGCCTTAAAAAAGGCTTTGGTGAGTCATCATGTGCTCCGCATTGCAGATCCCAAACTCGCATTCGTAGTTACTACGGATGCAAGCCAATATGGGATTGGCGCAATGCTGCAATAAGATCATGGTGATGGCTTGCGTCCGCTTAGGTGCTACAACAAACGCATGCCCAACAAAAAAGGTAGCTACTGCTACTTATATGTGCAAGCTCTATGCTTTGCGTGAGGCACTAGACCATTGGAAGCACTATCTTTTGGGTCACCACTTAAAAGTCTTCTCAGATCACGAGACTTTGAAGTGGATTATGATATTTTGGATTTCGAATTGAAGCACAAAAAGGGTTGTTACAATCGAGTTGTTGATATTGTCTTGCCACCCGCAGTATATGACTTGCCTTGTGAGCTCCTACGACCTCCGAACGAAACTAAAGGAGGAACTGGTTGAGAACACTGCCAAGGATCCATATCTCAGTGCAATACTTGAGTAGCTTAAGGATGATCCGAGCAGTCAACCTGCTTTCCACGAGTGTGAGGGTCTGATTTTCTTTACGGAAGTAATGACCATTTGTGTGTACCCAACCACGAGCCTCTCCGCACTCACTTCTTGGACTTGGCTCATGGCCAAAGTGGACACTTCGATTTTGAAAAGACGTATCGAAGTCTAAACAATAAGGGACTCCGAAAACCCTTCTGATTGATCGTGACACCAGATTCATAAGTACCGATCGGAGGGACTTCACTTCCAATTCCATGGCATCGACCTGAAGATGACATTTGGTTGACACCCTGAAGACAACGGTTTGGCTGAGGAAAAAAAACAGATGGTGACACAACTTCGCTGGGCTTTAATTATTCCGGACCAGGAACCGTGGGATAAAGAGTTGTATGCGATTGGGATCATATGAGCGGCAACTAGTTTCTGAGGTTGTTCCAACCATCTCTGCGAAATTCACTGCTACTAAGTATGCACGGAATCTTCTTGCTATGTTTGGTTATTATGTGTTTGTCAGGGACTAAGATCGAGTTTCTCGCGCAAAGGGACCTCGCTCTTGAAGGGGGGGTAGTGTAAGGACCTGCCAAAACACGGACGGAGAACAAAGCTGATTTCCGAGTTTTGCTGCAGGAATGAATGCCTTTCTGAGATTCCCGCTTTTTGCTGAGGTTTCTAAGTCTGTGTGTGTGCGTGCTTGCTGGTCTGTGTGCCTGTCTGTGTGCTTGCGGCTTGAGTGTAAGGGCACTTGTTTGTTTGGGAGGTCCCACAGGGCCGGTACTTACCTGTGGCCGTGACTTAGGGGTTACATTCGGGAAAGACAATCAAGTGGCCGAAGGGGTAGCTTAGGGCACACTCGAGTAGCAGTAGTCTAGTGCCGTAGGCACTCAAGTAGTAGGTAGGCCGGTACTGCTCGAAGTAGCAGTAGATGTGTCGAGAACCGGAGGCCGAGCATAAGAAGACAAAAAGTTGGGATTTTTAGAGGCCTAGTAGCGGTAGGCGGTCTAGGCGGGTACCAGTCCAAGTAGCCTGAGTCGAGGGGCTGTATGGACGATATCAGAGTCTGCACTGATGTTTCCCTCCAAGAGGGAGGAGGTACCGGTTGCTTGGAGGCCGCGCGTCCTAGAAGTCGCTGCCCAAGAGGCAGGTTGGCCGCTATATCTCCAGGGAGAGCAATGAGCTCTTCCTCATTTCGCTGCATGCAAGTTTGGAGTCACGCTGCTGGAGCGCTGATTGGAAGCAGCGCTGGTCTAAACAACGCTGTGGGGAAGAGGAGCGCCCAACTCTCCACCTTGGCTATGGTGGAGGAGCTCGGGTGGCAGGAGGTAGAAAAAGGGGACTAGGAGAGGGGAGAACCAGGGGTACTTACCTGGCTGTGGTGGGCGCCGTCTTCATCACCTTGCTGGGTGCTGCATCTGGAAGGCCCCCGTTGGGTAGAGTGGCATCAAGAAGCTTTGAGGCAGAGTCAGGCATTGCGGGCTGAGAGGAAGAGGTCATAGCTGTTATTTATTGTTTGAACAAAAGAGGAGGAGGTAAGGTGGAGGAGTTGGTTGGCGAGGAGAAGGGGGAATTATCGTTGGTCTTTCGCTGGTGTACATTGTCTTCTGCTTCTTTCTTTCTTCTTCCTCTTCTTCTTTCCCTCTCTCTCCTCTCAAGTTCATTCATTTCTTTTGTAATTAGACGGCTGTGAGGAACAAGCCCTCAAGGGGCCCTATCAGACATCACATGTTCTGGGCTAAGGCCCCCAGGAAGCCGAGTGCCAGCCCTAAGTGAAGGCAGGCCTGAATATTCGTCAGAGGCCAAAATTCGACATTTTCATATGTGGGTATTCAGGCTCTTGCAGCACGCCAGTTGGTTGGGTAGACGCGTGAGCCTCACTAAGCTGTGTCATACAGTTGGCCCAGGACTTGACAGTTGCGCCTGGGCACATACACACAAAGCAGGGCCGATACATTGGGAAGCAAGCCATCGGCCTTTGGAAAAGCAGTACTGCCGATGCACCTGCCTCGGAGCCCTGCACAGATGCAGCAAACAACCCAAGTCCGGAGACTCAGGCCGTGCCCAACTGAAAAGGGCCCAGGCCCTCAACTGTAGTCTCGGGCCTGGGCGCAGGGTCTGAGGCCCAACCGGAAGCTACTGGAATCTTCCAGCCAGGCCACACGCAGCATCCAGGAGGCTGCCACTTCCATAAAGAAGTGAGGCAGCCCAGGCCAGGCATTCAGGCCAGGCATTGTGGCCAGTGCAGGCAATGCGGAAGTGCTGCTGCGCTATCGCTTGATGCTGCGCTGCTGCCAAGGGTGCTGACGGGGCGCGTAGTGGTGAGGTGGGGCGCTGTAGGGCAGCGGGGCGCAGGCAGCCATAGCCGGGCTGCTGGGCGCCAGGGGGTAGGAGGGCGATCAGGTGGTCTTCAGGGAAGGAGACAATTGTGGGTAATCAAGGTCTGATTGAGGGTGACAAGATACATACCTGGTGCATGAAGAGAGGTCGGCTATGGTGTTGACAGTCATGTACATTGGTCTTCGAGAGTCGAAGTGAGCCTGTTGCGTGAACCAGCCGTAGGTAGGATAGTCGGGCAGAGTAGGCTGGGTGCTGGGCGTCAGACAGGAGAGGAGCGACTTTGGGTACTGTGTTGGTGTGGCCTACGGGCTTGAACATTGACTCATTACTTCATTGTATTGCTCTATATGGATGGTTTCTCGGTGCATTTTGTACTCTTTGCTTGGACACGACTACCTGGACATCTGTGTGATTTCACAACCTGATTTTCTGTATATCGTTCACACTCATATTCCTTGCACGGCATTGTACTTTCTCGTGAATTTGCACTCCGAAATTGGCCAGGATCGTAACAAAGTCAAGAATATACATTGAAGGGTACCATCACACCTTGCTGCTATGGCTAGGAGGTTCCAATCTCAGCCGACATTCGTTTTTCCAATCCCATACCATGACACACTAAATCCAAGGGGATCATGGATGCATTCAGGGTAAGGTTTAACTAAACGTCCTCCTGCCCATAGGCCTGGCCTGTGCGGATTCTGAAAGTCTGGGTAGGCAGAATACTGTCTGGAAGAGTGATAATGCAATGAGGGGAATAGAGCTCCTCAGGGGGATGAGATGATGCAATGAGACGAACAAAGTTCCTCAGGGGGATGAGAAAATCCTCGGACATCCAAGTACATCCTTAATGGGTCTGCAGTGGAATTTGCAGACCCCGTGCACTGCATGTGGAAGTCAGCATTCCCACTACCGTGGGGTCTACTGGAACCACCACAAATAACATGTTTTTCTCTGTTCGCATGATGCAGGTTCCTCAATAATTTTGATCTGAAAGGTGGCCGTGCATTCTTTGTGAGCAAGGACGGATACCTGGTTGCAACACAGGATGGGAAAATATACACCGTTGATCCTGTTACCGATGTGGTCAGTCATCTCAAGGCAGTGGAGTCACCAGATGTGGTGACTCGGGAAGGTGCAAGATATGTCGAACAACGCTTTGGGATGCATTTCCTGTGCCACAACACTACATGGACACCTGATGTGGTGGTTGGTGGGGAGAAATACTTCATTGACACGTGGCCGATCAATTTTGAGGGTCTGGAGCTCTCGGCAGTCATGATGCTTCCACGAGCTGTGATCTTAGAAGATTTGGATCACAACCGGCAAGTGGCAGTGGTCACACTTGTTGTTATGGCTGTTTCTGCTCTAGCATTCAGCTGTGTGCTACTGTCCCTATTTGTCGGGATTAAGTTCTCACAGTTGCATTTAAAACTGAGGCTTGCTGAGGAATGTGAGACCAAAAAGCAATTTGAAGCAGAAAAGGAAGCAAAGACAACATTTCTTTCGAACATGAGGTACGTTGGCGCTGCAATCTTTCTGTGGTTTATTTCGGCTCCATCGTCCACCTATCTGTAACTTTCTGAAAGCTTTTTTGAGTTGGAAAATGACATGTTAGATGACCTCCATTTTTCTCTGTCTGGCTGTTTGCACTGCCAAGTTGCCCATGGGGACTTTCCAAAAGCTTTCTTACATTGAAGCCTGTTGTGATGTCACAGCCTGTGTGCTTTATACAGTTATGCTCCCAGTGATATGGGCATTGTGCATTGTTTTGCAGTGTTGTAGGCCTGTCTTCTCTTAAACCGCTAGTACTCAGCCCCAGCCTTGCAGAAAGTTTTTGTCGCCACAAGCAAAACTCGGAGGCGCTGCGCGGCCAGGCCCGCCATTGAAAAAACAAATTGGCGGCCTCCGAAGTGGTGCGGGTTTCATGCTGACACCCGCTGGCCGATATGTGGTGTACTGGTGCTTCAAAGGACATGGTTGTTCCTTTTGTTTCAGAGGGATTGTTGTGTCATGTGACTAGAGTAGTCAAAAACAGAGGACTGAAATGGTGGCTTGCACGGAAGAATTCGATCTGAACGAGGATCAAACAGGGACTTGAGAGAGACAACATGGAAAGGGGAATCTGCAAGATACTTACAAAAGCCAGAGAAAGGGAGAACTGAAAAGAGACAGAAAGGGCTTAGTGTAGTCACAAGAACAGATTTAACTTCAGTTACCGGCTCAAGGAGTCTTTATCCGATTAGACAAAGGGAGACTGAGCAATCCGGATTATGTAAGAAGGAAGCGAACAAAAAAACAAATGCAGTAGCTGACAGTCCACTATGGCGGGCTTGACATTAAGTAAGAAAGCACATTGGATAGAGAAAGGGCATAAATAGACTGCACAACAGAAAAGCCCATTTGGTATCTGCCAGTTGATTGAATTAATTCTTCCAAAGGGAAGCAGTCAGTGCTGTGAGGATCAGAGTAAGTGCTGGCAGTGACCATAAGGGTGTAAAACAAACGTGGAGAAGTGGTACATCCTTCTGATGTGGAAGTAATCAATACTCAGGATTTCTTGACAATAATGGGGAGATGTGTCGTGTGAGTACATCTGACCTAAGGGAAGCTGGACCTGGTTTCCAGCATTATTCATGCAAAATCTCTTTTCTCTAAATAAACAAGTGGATGGCCACAGCAAGATGCGGTGGAGGCCACAGGAAAAGAATAGAAAAAAGAACACATTGCCAACATCAGCGACAGTTCGGTACTTGTGACAAGCCAGGCAGCACTATGTGGGCCTGGTTGATACCACATGGGTTGGGTCCCACCGCGCAAGATGGGTGATACCATGACGACTGGACGGTACTATGTGTTATGGGGCACCAGGTGGGGGGGAAGGAGGGCGCCCTGTCGACAGCATGGCAGTATTATGTGCGCTGTGTGATCTTAAGCAGGTTGAGCGGCACCATGTTGGGGGGATCATACAATATCTGGTTGTGTGTTGGGCGGCGCTGCGTTGGGCAGGTCATAACACACGGGGCTCGGTCCACAACCCACCACATGTACAAAAGACAAAAATTATGGCGCCGTATCTTTTCATGTTCTGGGCGAAGATTCGCTCTCATTTTGCAGATTTAGTGAGTGGCGGAGTGAGGCCCTACGTGGGTGATGCAGTTCTTGTTTTTCAGAAAGGGCAACGACATTCAGATATCACTAGCTTGCCGCTCGCAGTGTGGGCAGTGCGGGCAATGCCCACTCCAAGAAAGTCCGCCATCCGAAAACAAACCAAAAAAGTCCTTCCCCTCGAGACGAAGTGTCTCCCTCCATTACTCCACATTCAACACATACCTGGACGGGCCAGACCACATACATTCCAAAACTCTAGCCGGGCACTCAGCTTCCCTTCTGTAAAACAACATGCTCCAGAAAACAAAATCACCACTCAAAACACACAAAACGGCCGCAGGGACAAATCGGCGAACTCACAGCAGAGTACCTCCAGCTTTGCCAATTGGAGGGTCACCCTTGCAAGATAAGCATGCCCATCCATGACTGTCATCCTCCCTCTCCACTGAGTGCTGTGCACTCGTTGACCAGCATGCAGTGAGAAGTTAGTTACGAAACCCAATTCTGCTCGCACACAGTTGCGGATCCCATTTCCGCTCACACACAGTCATCGATCATCGTGATCCAATACACTCCAACGAAAACTTGACCATAAATCAGTGTGCTGCTCCCCACGCCCAATGCTCCATAAGAGGTAGGATGACAAAATTGCAAGGAAAATGAGCGAGAGTGATAGACATAAAACCAAACTGCAACATCACGCTGCAGACCAGAAAGTTGTGTACCAAGCAGGAAGCACAATGCACCGAGATACAAGCCAAATAAGAGCAGTACAATCTCTATCTCTATACCCTTAAAGCAAGCAAAGGGCCCAGCGTGACGCCCCCGCCGGGCCCAGCAGAAACCAGCGCGGAGGCGGCGGGTCCCAAATGGCGCGGCAGTGGAGGGGCGCGGGACAAGGAGGACGCGAGGCAGCGAAAATGCGGGCGGAGCCGTAGAGCGACGGTTCGGAAGGGAGCGGCCGGAGGCGGAGGCCGACGGTCCGGAAGGGCTGGGCGCTGCAGCGGAAATGGGGGCGGAGGGTGGCGGGATGAAAAAGAGCGGGTCGAGGGGAGGCCTGCCGGTAACTTCCACGGGCGGCATTGCAAGAGGGGGGGGGTGTCGGTTGGCGGGAAAGCGGTTTCGGGCGGCAACTGGGTGCGGGGGAGGGCTGCGTCGGCAGGAGGTAGGGGGAGGCAGGAGGTAGCGCGAAGGAGGGGAGGGTGGGAGTACCATGACCGAATCGTGCGCAGTGGGAACGACGGGGGAGAGAGAGAGAGAGAGAGAGAGTACTTGGATCGATTCGTTGGCCATATACAAGCAGGTACTGTATACTTCCATGTTCTAGCCGAAGATTCAACCAGGTGGTGTATGTTTCCATGTTCTAGCCGAAGATTCATTGGATGTTGCTCATCCTATCGATGGAAGTAGCATGGCGCGAGCCGCGAGGTCGGAGAGTTATCGTCTCTCTCTCTCTCTCTCTCTCTCTCTC